TTTTTTATATTATTTTATTTAAAATATTTTAATAAATTCATAAGATAGACTATACTTTTAATATACAAAACCCACTTTAAAATAACTCCCCCCTTCTCAATCTTTTCTTCACCTAAAATAAAACTTTTAATGGTGAATGTTGCTTCGCACGCACCCAAGAGGTCATGAACTCGAGTTTGAGTTAAACAGTAAGGAGGGTTCCTAACAATCATACAGTGTCATCCAATATGATGATAACAAAAACAGATTATTTACACTAGGAAAAAATCCTAGGGTTGGACTTTGTGTTTCAGTTTGGGAAGACGGGGTGAGATTGAGAATAAGGGTAAATTGGTGATTGCCATAAATACCTTTTAGCATTTTTTAATAAAACAACAAAACAAGGAAATTGCTAATAACAAATTTTATCCTAACTGTAAAAAATGCCAACAGCAATTAATGTGCTAAAAAGCAGTATTGCAGTTAAGCTAGTAAGAGACTCTTTGAAAGCCAAAATCCAAACCACATAAGAAAAAGATACCCGTTACCCCAATTGCTAAATAAAACAAGCATTCATTCCAATTCAAGAACAAAATAGATATTAGCCACCCTACTCCTCGCCATTCTGACTCTCATCTTTGACAAGCTTGATCATATCATCAATTCGAAGAATTGTTATTGCTGCCTCAGTTGCAAACTGGCAAAGAATTCAAAATTATAGGAAACCATATCAAGTTGTCCAGACATCATAATTTATCAAAAAATATACATCGTACTCTGTATTTATCTTCCACAACTTTTACCTGAATAATCTTGACTTTACTCATTGCAGGCTCGATAACCCCTGCCTCTAAGTTGTTGCGAATGGTCCCATTTGAAAGATCTAGTCCCATGCTGCACCATTTGAAGATAAAGTCAAACCATATGAAAAAGAAGAGTTACAACTTCATTCAAATGATATTTCAACATATTATAGGCTTCAAATGGTCATTCTTTGGAAAATAATTAGATCCTTTAGTTTCTACACTTCAAACTCCAGAGGTTCGAATGCTCCAATCCAGTTAGGAGATTACCTTGAATAATGTTTCTTATCTGCCTTGGTTTGTGCAGTGTGATGGTAAGCCTGCAGTTTTGCAACTAATTCAGTGGCATCCTTTGCAGCATTGACAGCAAGCACCTCAAAGAGACAGGCGTTATAAGTTAGATGTCTATATATCATTTTCCTAATAAAATGTGGACTGGTTTGGGAAGAAGGAAAAGTTTATAACATGAAGGCTATCATAATTCATAATTTACCATACCTTTGGTATAATCAAAAGAGATTCTGCAAATTCTGCAATTGCCAATTGCTCTCTAGATCCTAAAGTTGTGGCAAGATACTCCAAATACACAGACAAGGCAGATTCAACTGCACCTCCACCTGCTACTACCTGTATTACCAACACCATAGGTCCATAGCGGACGTTAATAGCAATAACAACAAACCCACTGTTACCAGCAATTAGTCTCATGTCCTGTACTATTATGATATAAAGGGGTGTCAAAAAAGTATTGAAGTTTACCGTATTAGATTCAAGGGTCCTTTTCACAATAGACAAAGCATCATGCAGAGCTCTCTCCATCTCGTCAAGCATATAATCATTTGCACCTCTAAGGATCAGAGAAACCTAGAAAATAATGAGATTAGGGTAATCACACTTCACAAGGGCACATTTGTAATCATATATTATAGCTAACTTTTGAGTATTAATATAATAAGATTTTAGAGAATAACTTGGCCATATTGGAAAGATATACTGGAGTTTCACATGTCTTTATAACTTGATCAGGGTTAAAAAACATGATTTTGTAATCAGTCAGTTACACACCGCACTAGTAGTTTTGGTCCCCTTTATCATTATCACATCATCATCAGCAATGTGCTCCTCAACAACTTCATCAGCATATCCAAGCAGTGATGAATCATAAGTTTCTTCCCCCTCCATATCAGCAAATGTTGAAACCTGCAGATCCATAAAAGAAAATTGGTGTAAAGCCTTTCTGTTGGTGAGCGAAATGATCTTACTCCATAACAGTATTAAGTATTATTACCAAAACAACTTTTGACAATCATCACAATTATTTCATGAGTTTAGAAGTAACATACCATGGTTGCACCAGTTGCTTTGGCAACATGGCGCATATCCTCTTTCCGGACATGTCTCACAGCAATAGCCCCGGCCTCCACAAAGTACTGAAAAAGCAGTGAACAATTTCAGAGAAGAAAGGAAAAATATAAATTTGGTATAAGTAGCAGCATAGGCAAAAAGCAATTTGACAGAAACAAATGAAAGATGCTCGCCTTGAGCGCCATGTCATCAATCCCTTTGGTGGTTAAAACAACATTAGCTCCAGCTTTCAGAAGTTTCTCGATACGTTCTTTTGTCATGTCAGCTTCCCTTTAAAGATAAAAGCTTTGTACCGTCAGCATCACATTGGTTGAATATTTAAAAGTAATATAGGGTGAACCAGTTTTAAATTTATCCCATCACCTTTCGTGAATCTTCTCAAGCTCCCTAGGATCATTTACCAGGACCTGTACACCCAACTGCATTTTTGTCTTCTGGAGGTTAAAGTCAAGCAATCCTTGCCGGGAAAACTCTCAGAGGCATGCCTTGGGCAGCACGGCCAGTATTAAGAGCATACCCATTCAGTAGGTAGCTGTCTCTAGCACTTTTTCCATGAGCTTTCAAAATATTAATTCCCTGTAATATAAACAATGCAGCTAGTGATTCCACAAACCATAACCTTTCTCAAGGATAAAGCTACAATTTACATAAAAGCTGTCATCTCATAAAATTTGGGCACAAGAAGTCCTCTGCAGGAAATATGTTAAAAACCATAACAGTCTACCTTGATTGGATACTTGATTTCCCCTCATGCATTGGTCATCTTCACTGCTTGAACTGCATCTACAACCTATACATGCAAAATTAATGCATAAGCTAACCAGACACCTAAGGTCCAAGGTCAGGGAAAATTTCTTCCCAAAGAAAAATGTATTGCCGGAAGAGAAGATATTATGGCACACTAACCCAAACCAACCATTTTTCTTATAAGATAGCACGATATCCCAAACCAATCTAGAGAAGAAGCTAGAAATTGGAAATCTTTTTCACAAGGAATGGAAATACAGGCTAGGAATAAATCTATTAATTGATGAGAATAGCATTCAATATCAAGCAATTTTTAACAGCATTCAATAAAAAATTGCTGAGAACCAAAAACCAATTGGAAGTTTCTAGGCCAGACAACAAGTATACCAGACTAGCAAAGAAGTCACTGTCACCAGATATCAGCTTTGAGGACATGCTGGTCTTGGCACAGTTTATCAGAGAATCCTTTCCAAGCTTCTCAACCTAGTAATGTTGGCAAAATAATCTAGTTAGTACATCATTTATGGAAAAGCTTTGCACCTACTACCATATATATAAAATAAAGAGGGAGCTAAAAGGAGAGGGAAACAAGGGATATGCATCTTTAGAAACCCAAACAACTCTAGGATAAAACTTCAATTAATTAATTTTTGACCCCTTTCAAAGATAATCTGAAGTGAAGACACTTACCTTCACTGCCAATTTCTCATCGACATATTTGCATGCTTCCCTCATAGCTAGCTGCCACAAAATAAAAGCCGGACAAAATGTTCAGCTGTTAGAACGTTGATGCGTTTGCTTTTTGAAAAAAATTATGTGGAAGAAGGTGGACACGTACTCTGTACCCACTGATAATAGATGTTGGATGAATTTTATTTCTCACCAGATCATTTGCTCTCTGCAAAATAGCAAGCAAATTGTACATTATCACGTCATCATTACAGTTAAAACTAATGAGGTTTACAGTAATCATGTATCAAAAGCCAGGAATGCAATGGCTGCAGTTACCTTCAGCAATTCTGCAGCTACAATTACAACTGATGTACCATCACCAACTTCTCGGTCTTGAAGCTCAGCCAACTCTACTAGCACCTGCAGTCTCAAAAGAAATCAGACTAGTAGAGATCAATAACAGAGCTAAGAAACAGGAAATATATAACACCTGTAAATCAACAGTTTCTCCTAGTGAGTGGGAAAGCAAGAGTAACCCGTTTAACATCTCAAAATATTATCAAAACATATTTAAATCTCAATCCATGACAAACACCAGGAAATATGAAAAACCAAAGTCACTTTCACGAAAAATATTTCATCCAAAAGTATTTTCTTACAGGGAACCATTTATTATGAATCAGAACATAAACAAAGGTAGCTAGAGTGAAAAGAAAAAATTTGACTACTAATCCACCTTGGCAGCTGGATGCTCCACTTCTAACATCTTGAGAATCGTAGCACCATCATTAGTAATTGTTACATCACCAATGTCATCAACAAGCATCTGAAATAAAACAACACAAATCATAGTGAGTCAAACTCAAATCCAATCCTAACAATCTTAAAAATAAAACAAACTCAACTGATTTTCCATAGGTATCATTATTAAAACATAAAAACAGTCATTCTTTGTAAGTTAAAACGTCATAAAGCAATGAAATAAGCCACTTGCATAAACATACCTTGTCGAGTCCAACAGGGCCTAGTGAGGATTTGACGATGTTAGCAACTGCTTGGCATGCCATCACTGTTACACACATCCAAAATGAGAGAAAAATGAATTTAAAGCGTGGAAAACACTTCAGTAAGGTTGGAATCAACTCAGTTTTGCAATTTATTGAGCAAATAAGTTTGACGGTGATAATAGAACACACATCAAGACATGAAAGAGATGCAGAGAGGAAGTACTGTTCTGCGTGCGAACGTCTTGGCCAGATTGACGCTCTCCTTGAATATCAGGAGCTTGAGCAGAGATTGCCATTTCTGGTTCACGATTGGAAGAAGCCAAGGCCAAAGGGGAGAACTTAGATCGGATCTGTTAATGAATGACGACGCCGGGAAGGTGAAGCTTGGGGAGAGTGGAAGTGCTGATCAAATGGCTGAAAAAATGGGAAACAAGGGGAAGTCAATGTTGTCAATACCATACCAGCATTAAGTAGCAGTTTTGCCACTGAAACGGTACGTACTGGATACCAGAATTTTTCACGTCCTGTTTCAAATTTATTGCTATAAATATATATTTTTATAAATTATATATCAAATTTTCAAATAATTATAAAGGCAATTGTCAAATTTTCAAATTTTCAAATAAGTCAAAAAGGCAATTGTCATCCATATTACAATCATAGAAACAAACACCCAACCAGGTTCATCACAGGGGTTCTTCAATTGTTTCTGCCAAGAGACAATTATGAACAAACAACAAAATTAACATTATTAATTATCTTGGACACAATTATAAGGATCCTCATTTGGAGGAATAACAATCATCCACTGCCAAACACACACACAATCACCCACTGCCACACAACTGTTTCATCATTCATGAATTGCAATCAAGCACATCAGGAGAAAATCGAATTGCAACATGCGCAGAGAAAAATCCACTGCAGAGAAAAATGCATGCAAATTGCAAAATGCAGAGAAATAGAAAAGGAAGAACAATCACCCACTGCCAAACACATACACAATGCCCAGTGTCACTGTCAAACCCTAAGAATCTGAAATTCTAAATCGAAAAAGAAAAGGAACTCATACCTAAAAGACGGAGCTGGGCTGCTGAGAGTGGTGAAGAGATAAAGGCTAATGTACCAGAGAAGCTAAGCAACAAGATGCTGGAAACTTGGGAAGAAAGGATCTCGGAAGGCCTCACCGGGCTAAGGATGCGGACGGGACAGAGAATGGCGATGACTTTTGATTTCCTTGTTTCGGTGCCTGAAAGAGACTCTCCAAGCTCGCGAAACAGAAATGGAAGGAGGAAGAAGTGGCAGCAACAGAGAAGAAGTGGAGAACAGCCCCCCGGCGACGAGTCCAGGACGAGGTTCGTGAATCGTGAGGAAGGAGGAGAAGTGGAGAACAGCAACAGAGATCTGCAATCTGCAATGAAATCGCAATTAAAAAGGGAATCTTTCTTCTTCTTTTTTTTTATTTGGACATGAGTGTTCCGGCCAAATTTCGGTGTACCGGTGCATCAAATTTTCGCCAGTACATCGAAATTTGATCAATACGATCTGTTTCAGTCAAACTGGAAAATCGGTATGTAACGGCTATACCAGCCGTATGAAACGGTACCGACAAC